GCATCTGTGGAAGATGCACAGGTTGGAGAGTTGCGGGGGTGCCCGTGGCCCTGGAATTGGGTGTTTGTAGGGGGTGTTCCTGACCGAAAAACATGGGGAGGAAAATGCAGCAAATAAGAGAGAGCCTCCGTGAGTGACGGCCGGGCCTTGACCCGTAGTCCACATGAAGCTTAAAAGATGCTGTGAAAGAATGTTCAACATTGTCAACGTTTTTTGGAAGTTGGAAGGGAAAAGTAGCTTACAAAACAGCTTCTATCATCTTGTTTCTGTGAGGAATCAGGGGATTATGGATAATTTCTTTTACCTTTCTATATTTTCTGATTTATCTACAATAAATATTGCTAATTTTTTGCTCCTAATTTTTTTTTTTTTTTGCTGTACGCGGGCCTCTCACTGTTGCGGCCTCTCCCGTTGTGGAGCACAGGCTCCGGACGCGCAGGCTCAGCGGCCATGGCTCATGGGCACAGCTGCTCCGCTGCATGTGGGATCTTCCCAGACTGGGGCACGAACTCGTGTCCCCTGCATCGGCAGGCGGACTCTCAATCACTGTGCCACCAGGGAAGCCCACTCCTAATTTTTTAATTGTAGTAAAATAAACATAACATATAAAATTTGCCATTTGAAACATTCACACTGTTGTGCAACCATCACCACCGTCCATCTCCAGAACTTTCCCCATCTTCCCGAACTGGAACTCTATGCCCATTAGACAGTAACTCCCCAGTCCCCGCCCCTCCAACCCCTTGGTAACCACCGTTTTACTTTCCTTCTATGAATTTAGCTCCCCTCATGTGAGTGGAATCGTGCAGTATTTGTCCGCTTGTGACTGGCTTATTTCCCTTAGCGTGTCTTCAGGGTTCATTCATGTTGTCGCATGTGTCAGAATTTCTTTCCTTATTAAGACCAGATAATATTCCACCGTATATATAAAACACAACAAAGAAAAATGTCCTTACACACTGATTGGAAATAAGTTGAACATTTGACATTTTTCCTAGGATGTGACCCAAGTGTGTCACGGAGGCTTTCTGCAACCCTCCTGCACCAGTTCCGTACCTGTGTTCTCCTGGACTGTCCTGGGCAGAGGTGGGGGGAGGGAGGGCGTCCCGCAGGCACTGGGCAGACAGCCAGGGCGGCCTGTCATGTGAGCTGTGTGGCTGTCCCAGGGTGGTTGGCCTGACCAGTTTTTCTCGTTGACCAGCGGGGGTGGGAGGCACAGAGGTGAGGCCAAGCAGCCCTGAGGGGCCGCAAGATCATTGCGGGGCAGCCTGGCCCCTTGGAGGCCGTCAGCTTTGAGGTGCCGTGTGTGGGCACCACTGGGGCCCCACACTGGCTCTGCAAGGCAGTGACCAGGTTGAGGACGTGGCGCTATGCATCCCCTGTCCTGGGCGTGTGTCTTTTCTTGAGCATGTGGAACAGGAAGTTGTGATGATAGAAGGAAGTTGGTAATGGAAGGAAAAAGTTTTCATTATTTTGAAAAATATCTGCTACATTTAAAATTCGTAGTTAGCACCGTGCTGTCGGGAGGGGTGTTCTGTGAACCGCCATCAGGCCCCGTCGCTCCCTTGGTGTCTGTCCTGTGTGTCATGCTGATCTCCTGTTGCTGGCTGAGAGCTGTTGTTGTCTCCAGGGTGGAGTTACTTCTCCTTTCGGGGCTGTCAGCGTTTGCCTGGTTTGCCGCTCTCTTGTTAGTGCACCCACCCTGAGCGTGGTTCTGTCTCCTTGCTGAATGACCTTCTGTCGTTATGCAGCCCCAGTCTTCATCCCTGGTAACTTCCTGCTCTGAAGTTGGCTTTGTCTGACACTCAAGTAGTCCAGCTTCCTTTTCTTGCACAGTTTCTCTTTCCCCCTTTTACTGTCAGCCTACCTATGTTACTGTTTTTGTTTTCGTTTTTTTGCGGTACGCGGGCCTCTCACTGTTGTGGCCTCTCCTGTTGCAGAGCACAGGCTCCGGACGCGCAGGCTCAGCGGTCATGGCTCACGGGCCCAGCCACTCCGCGGCATGTGGGATCCTCCCGGACCAGGGCACGAACCCGTGTCCCCTGCACTGGCAGGTGGATTCTTAACCACTGCACCACCAGGGAAACCCTAGAGGCTCATTTTTTTTTTTTTAATTTATTTTATTTTTGGCTGCATTGGGTCTTTGTTTTTGCGCGTGGGCTCGCTCCAGTTGCGGCGAGCAGGGGCTGCTCTCCGTCGCGGTGCACGGTCCTCTCATTGTGGTGACTTCTCTTGCTGCAGAGCATAGGCTCTAGGCCCACGGGCTTCAGTAGTTGTGGTTCGCAGGCTCTAGAGCGCAGACTCAGCAGCTGTGGCGCACGGGCCCAGTTGCTCCGCGGCATGTGGGAATCTTCCCGGACCAGGGCTCGAACCCGTGTCCCCTGCATTGGCTGGTGGACCTAACCACTGCGCCACCAGGGAAGCCCTGAGGCTCTTTTTTTTTTTTTTGCAGTGCGCGGGCCTGTCACCGTTGTGGCCTCTCCCGTTGCGGAGCACAGGCTCCGGATGCACAGGCTCAGCGGCCATGGCTCATGGGCCCAGCCGCTCCGCAGCATGTGGGATCTTTCCGGACCGGGGCACGTACCCATGTCCCCTGCATCGGCAGGCGGGCCCCCAACCACTGTGCCACCAGGGGAGCCCCATAGTTCTCTTATATACTACGTTTCTATACACTGAATACTCCATCAGACAATATTTTCATTTTTGCTTTCAGCCACCAAACATCTTTTAAAGCCCTCTAGAGGAAGCTGTCTACTCTGTTTACTCACTGTTTACCCTTTCTCTTGCTTTTGCTTTTTACGTCCCAAGTTTCCTTCTGGTATCATTTCCTTCTATTTGAAGAACTTGTGTTCACCTGCTGTCTATGAATCCCTTTGATTCTCCTTCATCTGACAATGTCCTTATTTCATCTTCATGACACTTCTTTTTCAACCTAAGAAGTGTCTTTCTACTTCTTTAGGTCCCCCTGGTTTCTGGGGAGAGGTCGAGCGTGGTCTCTAGGTCATGAGCCACTTTTCTCGGGCTCTTTTTAAGATATTTTTTTTCATTGTCTTTATTTTTCAGCAGTGTGACTGGGATGTGTCTGGTTAGGGATTTCTTTAAGTTTATCTTGTTTGGGGTCTGTTGAGCTTCTTGAATCTGCAGATCAAAGTTTTGCCACATTTGCAAAGGTTTCAGTCATGTTTTCAGCTGTTTTTCCAGCCATGCCTACTTTGCTCCCCTTCTTGCACTCTGATGAGACTGTTAAGACTTTTTCTCTTGTCCCAAAGGTCCTCAAAGCTCTTCATTCTTTTCAATCTTTTTTCTCTCTGTCATTCAGATTAGATCATTTCCATTGCTCTGTCTTCAAGTTCACTGAATCTTTCCTCTGCTTTTAAGCTCATATGGGGAGTTTTAAAAATTTCAGTATTGTATCTTTTAGTTCTGAATCTCCATTTGGTTCTTTATATCATTATTTATTTATTTGCTGTCTTTCAGTTTTTTTGTTCAGTTCAGGAGTGCTATGTTTCTTTAGAGCATTTTTATAGTAGGTGCTTTAAGTCTGGTAGGTAGTTATAGCATCTGTTATTTTGGTATTGGTATTTGTTGCTCATCTTTTCCAACAGGGGTTAAGACACTGCTGGTTCTTTGCTGAGTAGTTTGGATTGCAGCTGGACATTTTGGATATTATAGTATGAGACTCTGGGTCTTGTTTAAATTCTAGGAAAATGTCGGTGTTTCCATTTCAGCAGGCAAACCACCTCATTTGATTTAGGTGCAGTTCTGACCTGCCCTCTCTGGGTTACGGTTCCGTGTCAGTTCTGTCTTTGGCGCATCAGCCGTGCCAATGGATCTGGCCTGTGTGTGCCTCCTGTGGCTGTCTGGGACCTGGCCGTGGTCTCAGGGCTTGGGGTGTCAGGATCAGATCCACGCAGCTTGGGGGTGGCCTGACATTCATGAGCAACTTTGGGGGCTTGCTCTTCCAAGCTTCTTCCTCTCCACACTGGCCTTGGGGCTTTCCAGGGGCCTGGGGTTCCCTTGTTGGTCCTCTAACCAGTATGCCGGGGCTTTGGAAACCTGCCCTGCCGTACACTTCCACGCCCATGCCTTGCCTGGGGCCCAGTTGCTAGGTGAAACAACTGGGTGCTTATTTCTTCAGTGTCCTTGTTCAGCCCGCTTGCTGCTCTTTCCATCTCAGAATGAACGTAGCTTCCCATGTAGCTGCCCCACGCAACCTGTCTGAGGTCAGAGCTGCCCCAGGATCCTGCCAGGGGCGGAGCTGCTTGGTGTGCCCGTCTGGAGTCAGAGCTCGTCCCTGAGTCCTGTCCAGGGTCACAGCAGCACTCAGCGGAGGCAAGCTGGAGTGAGCTGACTCCTCTCTCCTGGAGCTGGCGTAGCCGGGGCAGGTGAAGTCCGTCTCTGTCGCTGTGCTTCTGTCTGGCAGCTGCAGAGTCCAGGCTCTCAGGCCTCTGCCAATAGTCCTTCCCTATTTCCTCCCCTTGGCCGCCGGCCCTCACCTCAGTGGGCACTGCAGGCTGCCCTGGATTCCTGGAGGCAGGGCTCTGGCCTCATCCATCTCTGTCCCTAGTGTGTGGCCCTGCTTGGAGGACGCACCTGGGAAGCGCCACTGGCAGGGAAGCACCATCGGCCCCTGGAGGCAGACATGGTACTGGAGGAGCTGTTCCCACCTCCAGCTCAGTGAGGGGTTGCCAGTCCCTCACGGAGAGCCCTCCAGGATGGTGACCCTGAGGTGGTAAGGTGGCAGGGGGTGATGGCACGTGTTTTGGCCCATATGCCCTACTCCATGACCAGCAGAGGCTGTGTTGTGACTCCCCTGCTGGTGAGCCTAGAGAGAGACGCCAGACCCTGGGGATGGGCCGAGACCCCTCCACTGTCCCCAGCTCCCTGAGGAGAGGGCACAGGGGAGCAGGGTGCTAAGCACCCCACCCTGGAAGGATTGTCAGGGTGCCCCTGCCCTTCCTCATGGCCTGGGGGGACTCTGTGTTTTGTCCCAGGGCAGGATGGCAGCCCAGGTGACGCTGGAGGATGCGCTGTCCAACGTGGACCTGTTGGAAGAGCTGCCTCTGCCCGACCAGCAGCCCTGCATCGAGCCCCCGCCATCCTCACTGCTCTACCAGGTGGGTGCTGGGCGGCCGCGGGATGCGTGGCCTGTGGTGCTGACCTCCACTTGATGGTTTTCTTCTTCCTTGCAGCCAAATTTCAACACTAATTTTGAAGACAGAAATGCATTTGTCACTGGCATTGCAAGATACATTGAACAAGCGACCGTCCATTCTAGCATGGTAACTCTGCGCAGTTTCCTCTGGGGGGATGGCATGTCTGAATAGCAAATGTCACTTTTTTTGGTATTATCCTGATAGGATACATAGTGAGGAAGAAGAGAAGAAAGTGAATGAAGTGCTTTATGTTTTTTAAAAGCACCTTTTTTTTTTTTTTTTTTTATATTATAAGGACTGTATATGCTCTTTCTGAAAACCTGGCTTCTGTGAAAGAGAAAACCTTTGTCAGCATTTTGAGGGAACCCATTCTCCCTCTTTTGTACTTGTACTCAAGCATACCAGGTAGACACCCATATGGGATTTAGACTGCATAAATGAATTGCATTGTTATTATAATTATGTATTTTAATGATTTCATGACCATTTTAACATGTCATTAAAATGCACCAGATGAAGTAATTTTTAATGGCTGTCTAGTCCATTTTTTAAGTGTTCAAAATTTAACTATTTTTGCAAATTTTAACTAATTTGCAAAATTTAACTGTTTACTTAGTTTGCCTTGATTTCTTCTAGTAAAAAATGCTGTGATGAACATCTTCCTAAATACATCATTATTCTCACTGGCTAGATTTGTAGAAGTGAAGTTACTAGGTCAAAGGTTGTGAGCATTTTAAAGCATCTTAAAAACATTACCAAACTGTAGTCAACATTTTCAAGGACAACTGTGCAATTTTTGCCATTTTTACCAAAGGAAATAACGTGAAAGGAGTAGACACGAAAGCAGTTTTGAAATGATGGCAGTCCTCTTCCCATGGATACTCTCCCTGGATTTTAAGTGCTTTCCCTCCCCGCCCTGGGGACAGCAGAGTGTGTTAGTCTTCCTTTGGGGCCGGGAGGCCCTGTGTGGCTTGGTGGAGCGGCTCTGAGGACCCCGTGTGCGTTCAGCTGCACTGCACGCTTCCCATGTCCCCAGCTTCAGGTCTGCACTGCCAGCAGGTAGCTTGGGGCTGAGTGGAGCTGAGGTATGGCGGCTACGGCAGGTGCCCTGGGCTGTGCTGCCCCTGGGCAGAGGTGGCTGCATGTCGCTGATACCCCTCTTCAGCCTGCAGAAGCCATGGGGGTGTTTGGGGTGGTCTGCAGTGTCACCAGTATCTTAGCAGCTGTCTCCTGGCACACAGGTCCTGGTGCTTTTCTGTCCCTCAAAGGGAGGGTCCTCCTGGCCTCTCCACCATGGTTTATGGCTCTAGCTGTTGGCGATTTGGCATCTGCTTTTTTATGATTGTTCTGCTTGCCTTTGATTTGCCCTGTGTACCCTTGCAGAACGAGATGCTGGAGGAAGGCCAAGAGTACGCCGTCATGCTGTACACCTGGAGGAGCTGCTCTCGGGCCATCCCGCAGGTGCCCCATCCCAGCCGGACCACCCCCGCCATTGGCCACGCCCTCATCCCTTCCAGTCGTCCCTGCCCAGTCAGACCCTGCCCCACCTCTGGCCTGCTCCATCCCAGCGCACTCGCCACATCCTCTCAGGGTTGAAGCCTCTCTATGTCATGTTCGTTTTCTCCCAGGTGAAATGTAACGAACAGCCTAACAGAGTGGAAATATATGAGAAAACCGTGGAGGTCCTTGAGCCTGAGGTCACAAAACTGATGAATTTTATGTACTTCCAGGTAAAACAGTGAAATAATCCTAGGGGTTTAGAGCAGAGGAATGAGATGGTGGCACCATCTACTAACTAAACAAAGTGCGTGTAAACTCAAGTGATCACAATAGCTCTGAGACCAAAGGAAACTAAGCCTTAGACAGCCCAAAGCGTTACTGGCTCTCAGAATAAATGCTTCTTCTGGGTTTCACTTTTCTTCTCCCCTCAAGAGTGAATTTGTAGTTCCTGCAGGAAGACTGCTTTCTGTCAGTACGCTTACAGGCTTACACTTTCGATTCATCTGGTTTTCGGGTGTTTTCTCCCCACTGTCCACTCTGGTGGGCTTTGCCCTGGCCTTGGCTCCTTCTGGCCCTTGGATTAAACAGAGTGGCCACAGGGAGGGACTTGGTGGCTTTTTTAAAGACATAGTTTAGAAATGTGTGAAAGTTTTTATTATAGAATCCTTTAGCAAAGGGAGAAGATAGAACTTCTTAGGTGATGAATTTTTGTCTTATCTTAAAAATTGTTAAGTGGAAATCCTCCCACCCCCTTTTTCAACTCTAAAAGCCAAAGCAGTCTGCTTTATGGACATTCTATTGGAGAATTTTGCTCAGTAACTTTGCTGGAATAATCAACAAAATTCTTTTACTTTGGGGACATAGTTGGTAAAGTGCAAAGTTGATGATGATTCTTACAGAGCAAGGGCACGTGGAAATCACTTTCTAGAAACATGTCTCTTTACCTGAGCTGTAAACATGCACTCGTTGGTTGGGTGTTTCATCAGCGAGTAACGTGACTCTGGACCCTGTGCTTGGAGCTGGGCCTGGGGTTGGCCCATCCCTGAAAGCCGCGTTTCTGCCCCCTCTTCCTCTGCGCAGAGAAACGCCATCGAACGTTTTTGTGGGGAGGTGAGGCGCCTGTGTCACGCGGAGAGAAGGAAGGACTTCGTGTCCGAAGCCTACCTGATCACCCTGGGCAAGTTCATCAACATGTTTGCCGTGCTGGATGAGCTGAAGAACATGAAATGCAGCGTGAAGAACGACCACTCAGCCTACAAGAGGTGATGAGCGCGCCTGGGACTCAGGGCCGGGTTCCCGCGCGCACTCGCTTGCGGGGTGTAGTGCCCACGAGGGCCAGTCCGGCAGAAGCGCTCTCCTGGGCAGACCGCCGGCGCTGCGAGGCGTTCTTGTAGGCTTTGGGGGCGGGGCGGGGCGGGGCGGGGGCGGGCCCT